ATAATAGACGGTTGTTTTATTAAATATTTATGGATTTTAGTTGCTTAACTTTATTGCTTATTTAATTTTGAAGATAAGTTTCAATTATATGCCCTATTTTAAAAAAATTATAGAAATACAAAATACTGAGAGTTTAGCAAAAGAGCATTTGTTGTGGGGGGAATGAAAAAAGTTAAATTATCTTCACAGACATTTAATAACAGCGTGTCTCTAAATTGTAAATAACAAATACTGTAAGGATTCTTAAGTTAACAAACAAATGTGTCTAATAAATCTATTTTGAGCTAAAAGAACTTCTACAGCATAACTAGAACCTCCCCAGATTGTGATTCCATAATTTATTCTAGATTGCACTTCGGAAAAGTAGAATAGACGAATATGGTGCAGCTTTAAAGTTTTATTTAGGTTTCTTATTTGACAATTTACGTATATTTAAACAGTGGTTTTTGAAAGACAGGTCTGAATCAAAAACTATCCCAAGAAATTTAACATTATATTCGAAATATCTACATTATATGTAGAAGTATTTAATGCAGGAATATTAGTCCTTTGACGAGTAAGACCAGGCCAAGAATATAGTAACAATAAGACAAGAGGTATATTAATTCATTGATGTACATAATAAATAATAAAGGACCAATAGTGATCCTTGCGAAACTCCTTTTTTATTCGTTATTTGAGTAGATTCAAATAACCCAGACAACACACAAATATCTAATGGGTATCTTCCAGACAATAAAAGAAATCCCAGAGATATCCACATAATATATTTTGTGGATATCCAATATATGCAGTGGATCTAATATGGATATCCAAATGTCCGTCTATATCCCAGGATATAGAAGATATTTGGATATTCAGCAAAATATTTTATGGGTATCTTTAGTAGAGGTTCATAAGTAACCAATGATTATTGAATAACGTCGAAAGAAATTAGAGATAAAAAATATTTTCAACACTCAAAATATTTTCCACACTCTGCATTTGATTTTGCCCACTAAGGAGAAAGTCATCCTTATTAGGACTCTTCAGCAATAAATGGAAATTCTCGACTCCAGTCTCTAATGGAGTCTGATTGGGATATCAATTTCGGCGGGTTGAGCATGAGTAGATATATAATGGTATCGCCATCTATACTTAGTAAGCAAAATCAAAAATTACATCTAGTGGATATCCACCATGGTTTGCGTTCGCGCCTAGACTTTGATATACCTATTTAGTGGATGTCCATGGGATATTGAATACACCTTAAAAAAATAAATTTTAAATATCTGAACGGTACTATTAGCCACAATGGCGAGCACAATGGCGTAATTTTTTAATAATTTGCTATATAATTACTATTATTTATGGACATTTGCATGTCTATAAATTGCATCCCATGGATATAAAATAGATATACACCATGGACTGGACATTCAGTGGATATTGGGATGTCCAGTAGATATCCAAAGGATTTGGTGTGCTGTCTGGGAAGAGGATTGTTCCTCGCATTCCATATTTATATGATTTATTTTTTTTAAATTTTGTATTGAACAGAGTCGAAAAATACCAATAGAACGTTCAGGCTTTTCAATTAATTTTAGCACATCACTGTAAAATGATTCTATAGCACTCAAAGTCGAAAATTGAAGACGAAACCCATACTGATACTTTGCAATAATTTGCTGATTTCTAAAAAAATTAGTAGTTGTTTTAGTTTTGCGCATTCGAAAATTTTTTCGACAAAATATCAGGGTTTCCTGTTTTTAAAATTAAGAAAACAATTAAAATTATTAATTTAGATGGGATAATTCGCTCTTAAATTGATATGTTAATAATGTGAGCTAAGAGTATGCGTTATGTACCTACTATTTTTTTTATAAAAATTGAAGAATTATTATTATACACATTGTGATGGTACCCCTACGCCTAACAAATGTGTTAGTACCGCCCAGCCTAAATGTCTGGATTAGTTTGATGACGAAGTGACATTCGGCGCGTGCCGAAGTGAAGGTGGGCAACAGTGTTGCCAGCGGGTTACAATTGTAATACATTTTTATTATTTTTTAGTCCATAGTTACAAAATAATATTGTTTTATATTTATTTCTCTAGATCAAGGGTTCGTATGTGGGACGAATTTTCTAATAATTTAAAAATAGAGTGGGTTGGCGGGCCGCATAAAAAAAACTATACCTACCTAGCTAAATGCTCTACAGTTTTTTTAGTTCTTTAGGTGACTAATAGGAGCCAAATGGAAATATAATTTGAATAATACAAGCATAGTAATACTTTCTCTTTTAATTCCACAATTTCAAGAAGTCATGTATTTATTACGTATGTTTTTTATTTCCATCAAATATATATATTATAAAATAATTCTTCAATCTGGCAACATGGTGGGCAATTTGCCAGTTTCGTTCGACTGGTCGACATGAGACGAACTGATTTTCGGCAATTTTCGCGGTAAAAGTTAAAAAGCTTGTTTGTATAGGGTTGTTGTGTCTGTATTTTAATTTAAAGTATTCCACGAAAAATAGTGTTATACCTATCTCAAAACGAACCCTTCTGAATTAACACAACTATTGGCAATAAGAAAAAGTACAAAGAAGGATATATTAAGTGTATCAGTGAATAAAAAACAGTACGAAATAATTTCTGCTGAAAAACTGCTATTAAATCGAGTAAATATAGTGAGAAAGTTGCTGTATTCCTGAGATCAATTCGATATTTTGTGTCCAGACACCTGTTTTCAAAGACCTTTTCGCAGAAACCTCTTTCCAGAAACCTGTTTACAAAAGACCTGTTGCATCGGCTTCGTCAACTGAGCAGAAAGGCGTTATCTTCAAATTTGGTGAGATCTTTCCATATTGTTTATTAGTTTGTTCATTGTTTGCTTTGAATTTTAATAAAGTTTTTGAAATATTTAGCGAGTGCTGGAGCTACATTAGGTAGATCACATGCTGAAAATGAACTAGGTACTAGGTACACAGATCTTTTCGTAAAGGCATTTCGAATTCAACCAGTGGCGTAGATATCTTAAGTTTAAGCTTGGGAAGGGTACTATCAAATATAAATAAATATGTGCATAATGTGAACTATAACCTAATACAAACCTAAAAATCCAAGGGGATAATTACCCTCATTACCTCTCTTGTATATATTACTGCTTTCAACCGATCTTTTGTTCAATGTAGCGAGTTAATACAAAAGCGCAGAAGGGCCATAAAATGTTTTTTTTTATTTTTCCAATTTAAAACTGGAAAAAATGATTATGTTCTGACTTTAGAACTCAAAAATAGATTATTCCGACATAGAACTTGAAAAAATAAATTTTTATGACTCTGAAAAATCTATTTTTGGGACTCTAGAACTTATAAAAAAAGATAATTTCGACTTCGGAACTCGAAAAAATCGATTTCTCGAACTTAAGAACACAGAATATTAGATTATTTCGACTTAAAACTCTGAAAAATCGATTTTCCTGACCCTAGAACTTAGAAAAAAAGATCATTTCGTTTTCAAATTAGGAAAAGTCGATTTTTCTGATTTCAGAAATCAAAAAATTTAATTATTTCGACTTAGAACTTGAAAAAATCGATTTTTATGACTCTAGAACTCAGAAAAATAGATTGTAACTTAGAACTCAAAAAAATAGATTTTTAGGACTCCAGAACATAGCAAATTAGATTATTTTGACTTAGAACTCGTAAAAATTATTTATTCCGACTTAGAACTCATAAAAATAGATTATTCCGACTTAGAACTTGGAAAATCAATTTTTCTGACTCTAGAACTTATAAAAAAGGTAATTCCAACTTAAAACTCGAAACACTCGATTTTTTGACTTTAGAAGTCAGAAAATTAGATTATGCCGACTAAGAACTCGGAAAAATTGATTTTTCTTTCTCTAGATAGAAAATTAGATTATATCGGCTTACAACTCGCAAAAATTAATTACTCCGACTTAGAACTCAGAAAAATAGATTTTTCCGACTTAGAATTCAGAAAAATTGACTCTAGAAATCAAAAAACTAAATTATTTTAACTTAGAACTTGAAAAATCGATTTTTCTGACCTTACAACTCTGAAAAATATATTATTTCGACTTAGAACTCGAGAAACTCGATTTTTCTGACTTTAAAACTCAGAAAATTAGAATGTTCCGACTTAATATTCAGAAAAATTTACTTTTTTATTAATAATATAATAAAAACACTTACTATTAAAAAAAAAATAATTTGGATTCTCGAAAATAAACCTATAACACTCTTTACATACTTGTGAGAAGAGTATAAAAATGTCTAATTTCAAATTGCTAACAATACTATAAAATATGCTTACTCTATAAAACCATAGAAACATTTCTAATAATTTTTTCAAACACTTAAATTGAAAATGATTTATTACCATACTTAATATTATGTGAAACAACTTTATAAAACAGATTTTTATTTAAAAAGTCATATTGAAACTATAAAGTATGTTAAATTTCATACAATGATGCCAGAAGAACAATATAGAATAAGCGTTTTGAAAAAACATATAACTATTTTAAGACAATCTATGTCCAAAAAAATTTTATACACATGAGAAAAAATAGATTTCTCAAAAAAAGTTATTAATAAAATATTCTGGAATCAGTCCATAATCAAACAATAATTTTGTAAAATATAGGTGGTAATATAGGGAAAATGAAAATAGAGGTTTTTTATTGAAAGTTGTCAAATACTTAAATTCAAGACGAAAGTAATAATACTTTTATTATGGATTCCCACGTGATGCAGAACTTTTTATAAAAAAATTTTTTCTTGTGTATAAAACTTTTTAAATCCCACTGTTCAAAGAGCATGTCGCCATTTGTTCTATTTGCTTGATTATTTTATTACAGTTATTTTAATTTCAATAATATTTTATAAAGTAATAAAATTCTATTTCAAAACATCTTCCGCCATTTTTAACAAACCAAAACCAGTGCTTCTAATCACAGAAGTTAAAGAAGCGATTTCTGTTTATTTTTAGCAAGAAGTACACCCCCTTCAGATGTTAGGATTTAAGATCATGGATTTAAATTTGACGACAGATGTAACAACACACAAAGCAAGTTTAGAAAGTTTCGAAATGGGAGTAGAAAATTCCATGATAGACAGAGATGAAAACTTAGCCAGACTGGAAATAGCAACCCTCGCTATTATATTCATTGTGACTGTTATTGGAAATAGTACAGTATTACTAGCTTTATGGACGAGAAGAAGGTAAGCAGAATCTTCGTTTTTATTTACATATTTTAGTTAGATACGGCTTAAATGCATTTTTAAAAATATAAAGTGGCGCAGTTTAATAGGATCAACAATACTTAAGGTATACATTGAAAAAAAAAAAGAAAATTAGTATTATAACTTTAAAGAAAATCAGTGTAGGAAATAAATTTTTATGTAATAACTCCAATATTTAAAAATTCAGCGTTTTATGTCAATAAAGTGATCGGTAAAATAAAATGTACCTTATAATCCAATTATTTATCCACACACATTTAATATAGATCGATATGAATTTCTACAAATTTCTACAAATTTCTACAAATTTCTACAAATTTCTACAAATTTCTACAAATTTCTACAAATTTCTACAAATTTCTACAAATTTCTACAAATTTCTACAAATTTCTACAAATTTCTACAAATTTCTACAAATTTCTACAAATTTCTACAAATTTCTACAAATTTCTACAAATTTCTACAAATTTCTACAAATTTCTACAAATTTCTACAAATTTCTACAAATTTCTACAAATTTCTACAAATTTCTACAAATTTCTACAAATTTCTACAAATTTCTACAAATTTCTACAAATTTCTACAAATTTCTACAAATTTCTACAAATTTCTACGAATTTCTACGATTTTCTACGAATTTATATGAATTTCTAAGAATTTATTTATCTGATCGTCTCTCTGCATGTCAGTTTGTTTGTCCATCTGTCTATAGTCCTTTTATCCGTCTGTTTCGAAATCTATGAATATCTATCAAGTTTTATTACTTTTATTTTTGGATCAACCTGTATAATCCAAATTATTTTTATTCTGTAGTGTTAACGGCCCTCTACATATATCCCTGTGAAGAAATAAAATTTAATGTCAAGTCGTTTTCCTTACAGAGACCGACGCCTATAATATTGTGTTTTTATATTTTGAATGAAAGTTATGAACGATTTCTTTTATTGACTGAATTGGGAAAATACCACTGACTTACTGCGTTATTTACTTTCTGGAAAGTTCATAAAAGTAGCATCGAAATGTCCATAAAGTAAATTGCTGGTTGAAATGACACAATAAGTCGGTCATAAACCACAAAGAGCGCCTTTCTAGCTTTCATTGTCAGTAAGAAATATTATTTTACTTGAGAAATTGTACAACTGTTTTGTTTTAATTAAGAAACATTTCTTATTTTTAATTGCTGAAACGGTTGGTACTTAGAAAATTGCGTTGTCCTCATAAAAAATATTTTTTTTCTTCAATCTTACAGTTTTATCACTTTTGAAGGGTCCAAGGTTTATCTACAAAATAATAAAATCTGATCTAATTTTTATTATTTTCTATTAATTTAATTTCAAATAATTTAATTAATATTAATTTCTATTATTTTCCATTAATTTCCATGAATTTTCTATATTTCTATGAATTTATATCACAAGTTTAGTAGGAGTGTTTTAATAATTTCTCATTCTTTGGCTAATATTTTTTATTTAAATATACAAAAATACATCGATCAACATACTCGTAGATGAGCGTAAATTATAAACCGACACTGTGTTTTTTCTGATATATGCATGTTGAATGGTTTTCCAGATATAATGGGCAATACAGCATAATGGCTGGATATACTCGTAATTTGTACTTACGAGAATGTCGCAAATGTGGCTGAAGGCAAATTGGAAAAACGAAAGTCTGAAAAACCGATGTGTACCAGAATATATGAAAGATACATTGCTGTGCTTGAATTAAGCCTTTGTCAATTTTACGAGAGGAAATAATTTATGTTTAGCTTCTTTAAGTTTCTATTGCTTTCTTTTTTAGTCTTTATTTCAGTTTATTTCGGATTCTAATACAAGAGTATCGATTATCTGTGTTTTTTATGTTAATATCTTTACTCTAAAGAGAACATATTTAAATAATTATGTATTTATGAAATATTTTTATCATTCTATCGAATTATATTCACTTTATTCTGAAACATTCCTTATAAAACTTAAAATTGGTATCAAGTTTAGTCAGTTAATGGGTCATTGGAGTCGTATAAGGAAGCAGATCATTTTTTTATTACTTTCACAGCACATATCAAATAACAATTCTTATTTTATTTTTTTTTTTTTTCGGGAATGATGGTATTATTTTTCAACGTTTCCCGTTATATGAAAATTTTGTTGACAACCCTACCAGGGTCTCAATTTTTCACTGCATGATTATGTTTACACAGATGGCAATCATTTTTTATAAAGAAATTTGAATATACGAGACACGACGCGTGACATATTATATCCTTTTCCTTATGTGCCATTCGTATACTGTAAGTAATATAGTAGCAAAGAAAATTGCATTTTACTGATAAAAATAAAGTAGTTGACTTGATATTCCCTTATCTGGAACAAAAGTAAGTAAAGGGGTAAAAGGTAATTTCATTTGCAAAATGGATTAAAATTTTCCTGTTAAATTAATGAAATGGAAAATAGTAGAAATGAGAGAGCCATTTCATTATGATGTAATTTAAATGTAATCCACTAACTAATGGATTATATTTACCTTTGTTAGGTTGGAATAATGCTGTTAATAATATTGACAATAATGGAATATTGTACTATATATTTACATATTATTAGCAATGTTTAAGACTGCAATTTCGTACAAATACAAATCTGAAATATATGATTTAAGCAATTTTAGGATAAAAAAACATCACAAAATTTTTATTATAAGATATTTTTACTATTAATATAAGTTAAGGTTAAAAAAAATGTAATTAAGAATCAGGGGCGTGCGGTCCATGGAAGCGAGGGAAGCACCGCTTCCCTACACTTTAAACATAGATATTTTTCAGTTTAAAATGCGTAGAAATTAATATTAAATTAGGTACTATATTTTCTCTGAAACATTACGTAAACTTCGTAAGTGTACTAACATTTCATTGGTGTAATTTGTACCACCCATGAGAAAATTAATTGTGTAAACGTACACACCCTATACTTCGAGTCTATCGGCGGTAGCGCGTCTTGAAAGAGCCGGTTCATCTTACAATAGGTTTGGCTTCGTGTTATTGACCCTGCTTTGCCACGACAGTGTAGTCAGTCCGTTTGGAAACGAGAAACACGGTCGAGAGGCAGCGATTTTTACGTCGCCTTACGCATATTGCAATTCTCATCGCGAATCGACGTGTGAGGAAAATCGTAGATTTCGGTTTGTTTTTCGTAGTTATTTTTTTTTTTGTAAAATGGAGGAACTATGCACTGTGTCTGTGAACAATAATAATGTTGTAAATTGTGTCTGTATTGTGTGCTCTTTGTTGAAAAAAGGATTTTTTCTACACCCGTATTATAATAATGCACTTATATGCCCATAATCCGTTTCATAATGATACCCATTATGATACAGATTTTTCATTATGATACAGATTTTTAATCAATAGAAACCTACAATTTTTCAATCAAGCATGATGTTTGACGTTTGTCCTAAATTCCTATGTAATTGTTTTAGTTGTCAAAACGTATTAAATTTTCGTAGATAGCTAAACTTCGATAATTATAATATTAAAATGTCTGATATCAGCGATATAGAACACTCCTCCACACATATAGGATGAAGGAGAAAATGCAGTACAAAATATTTTGCCCCAAAAATCTGTGGTAATACCAGTACCCAAGGTAATACCATTAATTACAATTTTGTAGAATTTTTTATAGAAATACGAGTAATTACTGTTATTGTGTTCAATACCAATATAAATAGAATATTTATAGGTCTTGATTATTTATCGGGTGTAGAAAAAATAGCGTATGCAACTCTCATGTAATGGTTATTAAAACACTCGCATAAACCATACGAAACTCGCCTTTGGCTCGTTTCGTATCCCGGTTAATGCTCGTGTATTAATAACCATCATTACATGATCGTTGCATAATATACTATTCAAGTAGACATTTTGAAGAGAAAACGGACATTATTAATTCTAGTAGACTAAAGGATCCTATCAATTTAAAGACGAAAGTAGAAAAGTCAGCAATGAAATTTACTAGGCATTTTCACGTAAGGTATTATGAAAAGTATGAATGGTTAACCGGCTGCAAAACTTTGAGGAAATTGTTTTGCTGGCCTTGCCTACCTTTTAATATAGCCGAAAAAACACATTGGAACTCAGTCGGTATTACAGACTTGAATAATTTTCACAAAAGTGTAAAACGACATGTAAATAGCTAATCTGATATAAGTGCTTGTAGTGCCTTGGAAGCACTACATACTAACTCCAACTCATAATAATATTGATATACATGTCACACCCATGCCACACATATCAATATTATTAAGGCAGCTTAGTGGGAGGCAGGATTTAAGTGCACCCTATCTATCTACTTGACGACCTCGGTTGTCAAGCATTAATATTTATTTTAAAAAAATGTCATATATATATATAATTTTCTGTCATGACGGAATTATCTATTTATTATATTAATATATACCCTTTTACAAACCGCTATATTATTTACAAGATGGGATCCACAAAGTTAGAAGATCCCATAATTAGTGACCCCGATAGAATCCGTACCTATGATTCCACACCGCTTAATTAACAGCGGAAGCAGCCGAAGGAGTAGCAGCTAACAGCAGTATCAGAGAACACCAGCAGCATCAGGATCAGCAGGACTAACAAAATCAAAATTTTTAAACCTTAATTTACCCATCCGATGTACAGGGTGAGTTTAATCTCCTTTCACTAACTGCCACACAATGAATAAAGTCATTAGCATTAGCATTCAATTCAAAAACATTTTCAAAACCAAACTATTAATCATTATTAAACAACACGAAAGCAAGAATATCAAAAATTAAATTACAAACATAAAACATATATATTGATCGTCCATGTATTTATATACAATTTACAATTATCACTTAGTAATTTCCTACATGAGTATATTCATTGACTCAAATAACAATTACTCTGTTAAAAAAGAATGGTCAAACGTGTATCAAAAGAGCCTTAACAT